TTGATTAAAAAAATATTAAAGAAGCTGTCCATGATATTCGTCAAAGTGGAATATGCAGTAGTTGTGTGGTGTCCATAACTCTAGAGGAATATCAATAAACTAGAAAAAGTGCAAAGATATGCAACTAACTTACTGTATTTTTAAAACTAAAAAAATACAAGAGCTGCAAGGAAAGGCTAGAGGTATTAAATATGCAAAGCTGGAAAATAGAAGGCAATATGATCACCACACAGAAAAGAGGGATAAGAATTGACAAGGAATTTTTTTAAAATTGCAACTTCAAAAACAAAGAGGCCATAGATTGAAGCTAAGGAAATTAAAGTACTGAAAAAATTTACCAAAGTTCTCTTTGTGAACCGTTTTAGATGACTGGAACAATTTAAATTGCAATGTGGTGGATGTCAAAACAATCAGTAGTTTCAAAGTGTCACATGATGAATATTATAGGGAAGACAATCACGACCATACCTCGTATCCTGTAACTAATTTTGGGTAATCGCACACATGTGCACACGCACTGTATAATATGTACATACCCTGCACTCAACCCGTCCTCTTAAAAATAACTTTGCTTTTGGTCACGAGGGAAAAGCGAAGTTATTTTTAAGCACTATGACGAAAAATGGACATAACTTGAAATGAACTTGGCTCACGAAAGTGACGTACTGTCCCGTTTTCTGTTTGAGTCCTCCGGCTTACTCATTAAGGTTAGAAGAGGAAGTAAGTAAGTAATTATCAAAAGAAGGCACCAAACCGGGAAGGCTATGTAGCACCATCAAATACGCAAAATAATCAGAGGGCGCTAAATATCACCAAGGATGCCAATACGAGAACAAAAACGCATAAGGCGAACGATATCAAAAGTATCCGAGTCACCAAGAATGCTATCGAGGGACAGGTGACCGCGAGGGGCGGTCGGAAAGCAAGACACACGCTCGTCCTGGAAGTCAGGACATTCAAGAAGGACATGCACGACCGTTAGAGGGACAATGCAACTAGGACAATAAGGAGCAGGGCGGCGCTCCATCAAGTGACCATGGGTTAAGCGAGTATGGCCAATACGCAACCTCGCCAGAGCTGTTTCCCACCGCCGGTTACGGTGGAAGGAGGACGGCCACGAGGAAACACAACATTTAAGAGTACGTAGCTTGTTACCAGTAACAGACAACCAAGAAGCCTGCCAACGGGTAAGGACCAAGGAATGGATAACCGGGTAAAAGTCGGAATACGGAATGCCTTTACGAGAGATGGGACAAGAGCGGACAGCTTCCTTGGCGGCAGCATCCGCACACTCATTTAAAGACACACCAATATGGCTGGGAACCCAACAAAACTCAACCGACTTAAATTTACTGTGAACAAGAAACAGCCAATGCTGGATCTCGACAACTACTGGATGAACCGGATTAAAGGACCCGAGAGCCATGAGGGCACTACGAGAGTCAACAACAACCACAAAGGAAGACTGACAACGAGAAAGCAGGAGACGAAGAGCATAGAGAATAGCATAAAGTTCCGCTGTAAAGATGCTAGTCTCCGGAGGCAAGCGACACATATAAGTGCGATCAGGAAAAACAACAGAGTAGCCAACACCGTCCGCTGACTTAGACCCATCGGTGAAGACAGAAACGGAGCGGGAGTGAGAAGAAAAGTGCTCGAGGAAAAGGCGTTTTAGAACCGTAGGAGGGGTAAAAGCTTTAGTGATACGGGTCAAGGATGTACAAAACCGCGGAAGAGGGACCCTCCACGGGGGCAAAGAAGGAACAACACGAGGAGAAACCTCAGAAATACGAACGGAAAGAGAATCCTGTAGGCGAGATAACCGGACAGAAAGAGGGAGGTGGTGAAGAGGAACAGGAACTGCAGGAGGGGTAAAAGTTAAAGCACGACAGAGGCGAGAGGAAGGATGTTGCAAGGACCGCACAAGATAGCGAAGACAGTAGCGATCACGGCGGTCCTGGAGAGACAGGAAGCCAGTGTCAACATACAAGCTAAGGATGGGAGTCGAACGAAAGGCACCAGAACTGAGGCGCAACCCAGTATGGTGCAAAGCATCAAGACGGCGAAGAGTAGGAGAAGCAGACGAGTAAGCAGGGCAACCATAATCGAGCTTAGACAGGACAAGAGAGGAATGTAAAGCAAGGAGAGTGCGCCTATCTGCTCCCCAAGAAGTATGGGACAAGACCCGAAGGAGGGCAAGGGCCTTAGAGCACTCAACACGGAGGTAAGAGATATGGGGAGACCAAGACAAACGAGTGTCAAGGAATAACCCCAAAAGCTTCGCGGAATCTTTGTATTCAAGGGAATGACCATAAAGTGACAAAGAGGGACGAAGAACAACCCGTTTCCGCGTAAAAGTCATGGCACAAGTCTTAGAAGTAGAGAACTTGAAGCCATGATCTGTGGCCCAAGACGACACGGTATCAATTGCAAGTTGAAGCCGGCGTTGAAGGAGAGGCGAATCATCACCCTGACAACAAAGGGTAAGATCATCGACAGAGAGCAGAGAAGACACCAGAAGGAAGAGAGGAAAGAAGACCATTGAGGGCAACCAGAAAAAGAGTAGTGCTCAGAACACTACCCTGGGGCACACCTTCGTATTGCTGAAAAGAGAGAGAGAGCGGTACCAAGGCGCACCCGAAAGGAACGATGAGAGAGGAAGCTGCGGAGAAAGAGAGGGAGACGACCACGAAGGCCAAAAGAATGAAGTTGAGATAGGATATGATAACGCCAAGTGGTGTCGTAAGCCTTTTCCAGGTCAAAAAGGACGGCAACAACGGAGGTCTTCGCAGCAAAAGCAGTACGAATATAGACCAAGTTCACCAGGACATCTGTCGTGCTGCGGCACTTGCGGAAACCAAATTGAGAAGGGGAGAGGAGGTGATGGTGTTCCAGGAACCACATCAGACGAACGTTAACCATACGTTCAAAGAGTTTGCAGACACAACTTGTGAGAGCAATAGGGCGAAAGTCCTTAGGGGAAGTACCCAGAGACCCCGGTTTGCGAACAGGGAGGACAACGGCATCGAGCCAGTCCTCAGGGACTGACGACGACTCCCAGATCCGATTATACAGACTCAGTAAATACCGAGACGTGCTCGGAGGGAGATGGCGAAGCATCTCATAATGAATACCATCGGAGCCCGCCGCCGTAGAACCGCAGAGGGCCAGGGCAGAACGAAGTTCAGAGAGAAGGGATCATTATAGGGAAGCTGAAGATGAGTGCAGAAATCTAAAGGACGAGACTCAAGGAAGGAAAGGAAGAAGGAAAGATTGGGGAAGATGAAGACCAGAGCTAACAGAAGAAAAGTGGCAACCCAGTTCGGAAGCGACCTGCAACGGGTCCGCCACAAGAGTATCATGGAGGTGAAGGACCGGTGAAACATCGGGAACGAACTTACCCGCTATCTTGCGGATACGCTTCCAGATCTGGGCCAGAGGGGTTTCGGACGTAATTGTTGAGACATAAGATGCCCAACATTCACGTTTAGCCGTACGGATGGCCCTACGGGCCACCGCACTCGCTTTCCGAAAGAAAAGAAAAGAATCGGTCGTCTGCCTACGGCGGTGTCTCTTCCAGGCTGCACGCTTACAGCGGACAGCCCGAGCACAGTCCGCATTCCACCAGGGAATGCACTTCCGTGGACCCCGAGAGGAAGAGTGAGGAATAGAGCGGAGGGCAGCGTTGAAGACAGTGTCATGAAAAAGGAGGAGAGCGCGAGAGAGAGGCAGAAGGGAGAGGTCAGAGAGAGCAGCACTGAGGGTAAATAGGGTCCAGTCTGCCTTAGCAAACTGCCACCTAGGGAAAGAGAGGGAAGGGCGAAAAGAGAAAAAGGAAACAAGGATGGGGAAATGATCACTTCCATGGAGGTCATCAAGAACCTGCCACGTGAAATCTAAGTAAAGAGAAGAAGAGCAGAGAGAAAGATCATGACAAGAAAGGGTGCGAGTCCGAGAGTCCAAATGAGTGGGCTCACCAGAATTCAGAAGAGACAGGGAAGAAGATAGGAGAAACGGCTCAAGGAGGCGACCCCGGGTATTCGTCAGAACGTCACCCCAAAGAGAATGACGACAATTGAAGTCACCCAGCAGGAGCACAGGCTCGGCAAGGAGTCTAGGAGGTGTTTCAAATCAGGAAGAGAGAGCGGGACACTTGGGGGGAGATAAATGGAACAAACAGTGTACCATTTCCCCACAAAGATACGAGCAGCAGAACAATGGAGAGGCAAAGGAAAAAGTAAAGAAACAAAGGGAACATCTGCACGAATCAAGAGAGCAGAAGAATTAGAAGCCCCAGCAATGGCTGTTAGAAGAGGAAACTTTCAATTAACATTTTTCATGACATTTTTAAACTTTAGAACTTCCTGCTATCTTAACCTACCAGAAGACCCTTAACTTACTGTTTTGGAAAAAAATCCAAAATTTATTATATTTTTTTTATTTTATTTTTTAATTTAAATTACGTTCATTTTCAGCCATACGAGTAAACGGCCAAATTCAGAATTTGTAAGATTACAGGTTGGTGCACTAGCAACTTCAACAAGGTGGTTCATCAAATTAAATTTTAATGAAATTAAAATACGCTTGATAGCACCACTTCACGTATCTCTCATCCTTTCCCAGAGCATTCCTATCCAACCACTTAGGCTGGATAGTGGAGCAACGGTCTCGCTTCATGCAGGTCAGCGTTCAATCCCAACCGTCCAAGTGATGGGGACCATTCCTCCCCCTGTCCCATCCCAAATTATTATCCTGACCCCTTCCAAGGGTTAAATAGTCGTAATGGCTTAGGGCCTCTGATAATTTCCTCCCAAAGCAATTGACATTTTACATTAATACCAGTTTATTTATTTGCATGCAATAAAGCAATAAGCTATACTGAAAGATTTTTTTTTAAAGTAGTGTATTAAAAAAATGAATCATGTTTCAAGTAAAATAAGATAAAACATTTCTGGGAAAGTAAATGATATACAAGGTTATGAAGGGAAGTAAATAAACAATGCATTTTTGTTACAATTTAGTATTTTGCATATATTAATATCTTTAAAATACTATAAAGCCCATAAAGTAATAGATTAGAAACAGACAAATGAATACATAAAATGCTTATATATGGACAGTGACAAATGAAACTCATTTTGAACATAGTGAGAGTTTTATAGTGTTAGGATTTCAAGAATTCCACAATTACATTTATATACTACTCTCCTGTGTTTCGACATTATCCCTAATTGCATCCAGCCGAGCTTCAATTGCATCGTCTTGAGTTAATGTACACTGCTGGTCAGGAGTATCAATCTTTCTTTCCTCAAACAAGACAGGAGACAGCTCAGACTTGGGAGACTTCATAGAGGTTAGACTTGACTCCTGAGGTAACTGACCACTCTGAATATGTTGAGGTTGTTGACCAAAAGTATGAGGCAAAGTTCCAGGCATGGTGGGGGCTTGTGACACACCAGGTGATACAGGTGGCATATATTTAGGTGCTGGCATATTAGGGATTCCAGATGCTACAACTCTGCTTCTTGACATTAATTCTGCTGGATCACCTAAAAAATTTAATCTCATGATAATGTACAAGACATTTTCATGTACAACTGTTAAATATAATGAAAGCCTTCAAAAGAATATTTATGTAATGGGATGTGAGATAACACGATAGAGATAGGAAACTTAATAATAAAGGTGCCGAGGGCAATAAGAATAAAATCTAATGTGCAAGTATTTTCTGAAAGTAGAGCAACTTTCTCTAATTCAATTTTTTTTTAACTTTGGAATCAGACTAGATGGGTGGCTGTACAAGTGCACTTAAATTACAAAGAATAAACTACGGTACAGTACTGTCTATGCTCGATAATCAGAATCATATGGGGCTCACCCCCATTTGAGTTGCCCAAATTTCTTAACAGGAATGTAAAAATATTAACAGCCATTTTCACAAAAGTTCAATCACTCCGAGTTTATCTTTAATGGATAGCGTAACTTGCTTCTTAACACTGCCACATCGATAGCTGCTGCTGCCGCCAGACATGCTCTTAGAAACTGATAATTTTTGGCTATTAAAATGAAAAATTTTGGAAAGAAAATCTTTCAGTAAAAGTAGCATGAGGTAGAATCACGTGAGGAAAGAATACTTGGCTGGGCAGCTAGACTGGGTTAGGGTCAGTCATCCCAGGCACAATACATAGATCGGTAGAAGACAAAAACCAAGTTCCATATTGTAGCAGGAAAATCCACCACACAGTACAGCCTGTACATACAGCTTTTTGGGTGGTCGCAGGAAGGCAGGCTGGCAATTGCGGGCGGGTGGTTGGGGGGTGGCCAAGAGCAGGTAGGACCCAGAATAAGAGTACTGTACTGTAAAAGGCAGAGAGAGCAGGCAGGAAGCTGACATCAAGTGGGAGACCAAGAGTGGATGGGAAAGTTGCCAAGAGCAGGCAGGCAGCCGAAAATTTCTGGCAATGCAGTGCTCAAAGATGTATCGATAGCTTTTGGCAAAGTTTGCCACACCAACCTAAAATACAAGATATCACAACTAGGATGTCCACAAACTGGTTGGCTGGGCTATCACTCACACCCAGTCTCTCCCCACAGTCCACATTCCTTCCCATCCACATACCCCATACCTGCCCTTTCTCCTCCCATTCCCACACTTGTCCAACCCTGCTGTCCCTTTGCCTACTATTCCCAGACACCTCTTATTCTCCACCCCTTTCAGGATGGCATATATAGAATATGATCCTTGCTCCCTGCTAACTGGTGGCCCAGAGAGGTGGAATAATGATAATTCTAAATGTTTGATTGTTGGCTTGCCTGTTTGTCTAGGCCCAGTTTACTACTTGTAGATACCAAAAGATACCAAATTAGAAGATATAGGAGGCACATGATGATTATACATAGACTGCCTGACATCAAACTCATACCACCTGACTGGCTGTGGTCTGCCTGCTACAATAACATTTTTTCCTTAATGGAAAAACACAAGAATCGTGCAAGACACACAAATGGCCAGGGATGACTAGCATCAAGAAAAAACAAAGGAACCTGCTTGTCACCAACATGTGTGTTTAAATGAGAATTTATCTTGCTCTACTATAACTATAGGAGTGAGAGGTTAAGTGCTTACAACAGAACTCTTATTGGTAACAACTTTCTATTTATCAGTCAAGACAACTAGTTTATTCAAGTTACTTGTTCCACATAACTTTCTAACCCAAATCCCCATTTGGGTTTATATGTAAAAACAAATTCATTCAGGTAATTCGGACATTCAGGTTGTCGGAATCCAAATTACCAAGCTCTTGCAGTCAGTACTGTTATGGTAATCTCCTGCTTGGCAGTAGATCCTGGCTGTTCCTTTACCGCCTATTCAACGTATCTGCATGCTCCAACATCAAGATTCAACATAAACGACAACAACACGTGCCTAAGCGTATTGTCTAGACAGGTCGCCTCCCCCTCCACCCTACAGTACCAGAGACACCTGTTGTCTCGCCGGTTGACCAGACACCACCAGCTAACTACATCTCTCGATCGTTTAACTACCAGCTTTTTGTCTAAAACGCCAGAATTTGTGCCAACTATGACATCATGCCCCATATATAAGGGCTTGTCAACGTCCAGCCCAACAGATTATCCCTTAGAGTGCTCATAGCTTTAGCATCTACTCTCGCCTCCGGGTGACAGACTCGCACAGCATTTTGTTTGAAGTATTACCTGCACCTTTGTTATTAACATAAACTTCACCTGCATATATTTCTCTTGATCGTGTGTAAGTAAGGAGTTTTGTTTTCATTGTTACTTATATTTTTTTGTAAAATTAAAGTCATTTTTTGTTATATTAAATTTGACGTTTTTATTCACTTTGGTTTTCACCCGCATCTCACACAGAAGATCCAATTTTTTTTTTTTACTTTGTTTTCTCTTTTTTTATTATTAATGTACGATTGGCACAACACTTGCCAGAATAGCTACTGCTCTATTCCAGATTCTCGTCACAGTACTGTACCTCTAGAATTGACCCTGGACCTTGACGACACATACTGGTACATCCCCATCCATCCCAGGTTCACAGACTCAAGTTCTTGGGTATGGCGTCTGTTACCACTGACTTTTCTCTATGGCTTGAACCCGACTTCCTGTACAGTACTTTTACTAGAATGATGCGGGTTGTGGTGTCTTGCCTTCAGTTGTTGGGTTCCATATCTTTGCCTCTTGACAACTCCCTTGTTTGGGCTTCTGGTCAGTCTTCAAGCTAGGGCACAGTGCCACAAAACTTGGTTCTAATTTGACCAGATTCAAATGGCAGAGGTCCCATGTTGGCTCTGTCATGACTTTTAATCTGGCTGGGCCTCTTTTTGGGATTTTCGGCCGACAGTCAATGTTGCCCCTATTGTCATCGTGCGCTATCTGGTTCAAACTGTTTGCCCTTTGGCAACTTCTCCCTCACGATTTTCCTCTCTAGGTTTTTTTGAGGTTTGGTCCCATGGTGCCATCACGACCTTTCACGATCAACTTGTTCACAGCTGCCTCTGACCTAGGCAAGGGTTTGTGACCAGTGCTCACCAAGTGATTTGGGGCCACTGGTTAACATTTCTCGACAGTTTGAGGCACTCCACCTTCTTGGTCTCTGGATCATGTCCTTGTGTTCCTTTTCATTTCTCTCTCCTTCAATCCAGAATTTGTTTCTCAAGGCGATACTTTTGCTGGCTCTCGCATCTGGTTGTAGAGTTGGGGAACTTAGCACTTTCTATCGGAAGCAAGGACTTCATTCTTTTGGCCCTGAGGTGTGTTTTCCTCATTAGTAGCTGCTATCTCCTTTTGAAGCCAAGAATGAGACAAGGGGTTCTGGAGAGGGCCTTTGGTAATTGCTTGTTTAAGGCTTTGTTGTCCCAGTTTGTTTACAGCACAGTGTAGTTTAGTCAACCTGCAGTCTACCCATGGACCCATGATATTTCCAAGTTTGCAACTACTACTGCTTTCTTAGTAAATGTGTCATGGGCAGAGATTTGGAGTCATGGCTTTTGGCAGTCTAAAGAGTGTCCAAAATGCATTTTACTTGGTGCATATTGAACACTTAAGGCATTGGGTCGAGTGTTTTGGCACCCATTCCATTTTTGGGTGCGCCTTTCCTCTATTTTGCTTCTGTGATGGGATACCTCAGGAAGCCACAGGGAAGCCTTCCTAGAAATCCAGCATTGAATGTAATGAAATGGCTCTTTTGGTGGGTCCCCTCAGTGGCTCCCCATTTCTGCCCTTCCCTTTTCAGGGTATTTGGGGATCATCTTTTGGTGGTACATGTCTGAGGTGGCTAACTGGCTGAAGCTCAGGGCTTCCGTATGTTAGTGGTGGAGTGCAACTAGTGGTGGGAGCTCTAACAGATGTGCACATAGTTGTCACAGTTGCCAATGTTTCTCCATACAGCTGCTTGTTTTGGGGTGCACTACCTTCCCATTGGTATTTTTGCTCTTGGTCGAGGTTCATTTAGTATTCCCAGACTCCTTTTTGCCTCTAATGAGCGGACCAGATTCTGTTCCTGGCTTCCAGCAGGCACCGAAAACTCGAAAGAGCCTGGTGGGTTATGTTGGGCTTGGAGCTAACGAGATGGCTAGCTCTAGCTCAGGGATTCACCAAGGGGATCCACCAGAATGAGGCAGTTCCTTATATTCAACACTTAATTTGTTGTCATTTGTCCATAACTGCATATATGTACCAAGAAAAGGGTTAATCAAAAGGTAAAAGTTAAAGCACGACAGAGGCGAGAGGAAAAATGTAAGGACCGCACAAGATAGCGAAGACAGTAGCGATCACGGCGGTCCTGGAGAGACAGGAAGCCAGTGTCAACATACAAGCTGAGGACGGGAGTCGAACGAAAGGCACCAGAACCGAGGCGTAACCCAGTATGGTGCAAAGCATCAAGACGGCGAAGAGTAGAAGGAGAAGCAGACGAGTAAGCAGGGCAACCATAATCGAGCTTAGACAGGACGAGAGAGGAATGTAAAGCAAGGAGAGTGCGCCTATCCGCTTCCCCAAGAAGTATGGGACAAGACCCGAAGGAGGGTAAGGGCCTTAGAGCACTCAACACGGAGGTAAGAGATATGGGGAGACCAAGACAAACGAGTGTCAAGGAATAACCCCAAAAGCTTCGCGGAATCTTTGTACTCAAGGGGATGACCATAAAGTGACAAAGAGGGACGAAGAATGACCCGTTTCCACGTAAAAGTCATGGCACAAGTCTTAGAAGTAGAGAACTTGAAGCCATGATCGGTGGCCCAAGATGACACAGCATCAATTGCAAGTTGAAGCCAGCGCTGAAGGAGAGGCGAATCATCACCCCGACAGCAAAGGGTAAGATCATCAACATAGAGAGCGGAGAAGACACCTGAAGGAAGAGGAAAGAAGACCATTGAGGGCAACCAAAAAAAGAGTAGTGCTCAGAACACTACCCTGGGGCACACCTTCGTATTGCTGAAAAGAGGCAGAGAGAGCGGTACCAAGGCGCACCCAAAAGGAACGACGAGAGAGGAAGCTGCGGGGAAAGAGAGGGAGATGACCACGAAGGCGAAAAGAATGAAGCTGGGATAGAATATGATATCGCCAAGTGGTGTCGTAAGCCTTTTCCAGGTCAAAAAGGACGACAACAACGGAGGTCTTCGCAGCAAAAGCAGTACGAATATAGACCTCCAAGTTCACCAGGACATCTGTTGTGCTGCAGCACTTGCGGAAACCAAATTGGTGATATTTACCAAGCATATAAAAATTTGAACACAAATTGTCGAGTCATTTTGCCATCATGATGCGAATATAATGATCCAAACTTTCTCGTCATTTATAAAATCACTACTTTGGACGCCTGCCATTTTAGCTAAACAATACAAAGAAAGATTGTCTTACCTTGGTTCATTTGTGAATTACCAGGAAGTGACGAGCCAGATCGTAGCCCTAAAATTTTTACATAATTGGCTGGTACCAGCCCAAAATTTGTTCCATTAGATGCTAGTAGCCATCCACGAACACTGGGCTGCTGGTCCCTGGGTGCCAAGAATAGAGACTGTCCAGCTCTAAAACTAAGCTCATTTCTGCTTTCACCCTGAAAAAAATTCAGATGTTTATGAATTGATTTTTCACTCCCAACCTTGACCTGAAGTAGATAATGCATTTTACCTTCTGTACATAATCTAGCAGAGGAGAATCACTTACATGAATGTTTGCAGATGATGCCAAGTTACTAGTTAGAGTAAGAAACTTGCATGACAAATGCCACATTTGTGGCATACTAGATGAGTAAAAAACAATTATGTTTTCTCTAAGAAAAACAGAACTCATTCTTGGCCAAAAAAGGACAACCAGTTGAAGATAGAGAATGGAGAGCCCCAAGGCAAGAACAAAACCCCCTACTTGCAGCAAAGCAAAAAATTTGTTACCGCTACTACCAGAAACCAGAGTGACTGGAGCCTCCATTTTTAACACTGGCCAATAACTATGCATCCATATATGAATATACTCAGTCTGGGCAAAGACATGCTGCATCCTAAATTAAAATATTCTTTAAAAATCAAATTTTTTTCAGATTATGAGACTTTTTAAAAAGTGCACCACGTCTTTCCATTTTCTATGATGGCCCATGTGGCATCATGGCTCCACCACCCATGCGGTAGGCCTATTATTGTTGTGTTCACACTCTTCACCGCTGCGGCCTCTGCTCTCGCAAAAACTTGTGCCCGTTCTGGTTATTTTTCCTCGGCTATATTTGGTAGGGCCTTTATAAACACTACATTTACTCCAAGATGGATAATGATCAAGAACAGAGCCAGTCCAGGACGAAAGCAGTGAAAGACATCCGAGGGAAAAGCTAAGTAGTGTTCGCCAAGAGTACAGAGAAGCGAGACTCGCACCAACAAAATTCCAGGCTTTAGTCGACTAATTTTCTGATCATTAACACTTTCGCCCGGGCATGACGCAGCATTGCGTCATCTGTTTACTGTCGGTAATACCGGGATGACGCAGCATTGCGTCATCCACTTTAAATAATCGCCAAAAATCAGGTTTTTATCCGATTTTTTTGGGACTGGTTTTAAAATGTGCGCCGATGTCTTCCCATTTTCTTTGTTGAGCCTTGTGGCCCTCAGGTGGCTTGGCACACGCCGTGGGCCCATTGTTTTCGCTCCACTGTTGTAACCAATGTCGCCTCCCCTCGCATCTCAAACGTGTGAACATTTCGGCTATTTTCCGTGGCTATATTTCTTACTGCGGCTTTAGAAACTATCTACCCTTACTCCACGATGGATAGTGATCATGAACAAGGCCCTTCCAGGAAGAAAATTGCGAAAGAAAGGCTTGAAAAGGGAGGGAATTGGGAGTGTAGCTGGAAGGCGTCTGAGCGCTCACTCGCGGCTAACGCGTGGCCCGTCTTCAACTCGGCGGCGGTTGGAGCGTGACCAGGTTTTATATTTTATATGCTAATGTTCCTCTAGAGAATTCTATTGCGAACCCATTGAGACCAAAATGAAAGACCTAGGACAAAAATTGAGGTGACCAGAGTGAAAATAGTGAAAACATTTTATCGCGTTTGCACGCTCCTGGGTAACTCGTTCGCACTCTCTGTTTGCTGCGGGTAATTAGCCGGGCTTTTGGAGTTTATATGCATTTAGTGCTGTAGAGAATTCTATTGCGAACACAATGATACCAAATTTAATCTCGTAGGACAAGAATTAAGGTGACAAAGTTGGAGAGTATACACTTTTCAGAATTTACGCGCGCTCCCGTGACACCCTGGGTCCCATATCGCACAGTTGAGGGGTGGCGCGCGGGGTGAGCAAAAGTGTTAAAGTGCCAAAAATGATAGCGATGTCGACAGTGAGGTGATTAAAACAAACAGCAGGCGAGGGTGAAACTGGGAAAGTGAGGGAAATCGTGTACTGGTTACATCTATGATTTTGAAGTGTATACAGGAATTGGGAAGACAATTCAAATGGTTATAAGAAAGAACATAAGAATGAAAGTAACTGCAGAAGGCCTATTGGCCCATACAAGGCAGCTCCTACTTATATCTACCCAATCTCATTTATATATACTGTATGTAACCTACATTTGAAACAATCAAGGAATTTATATTATATTACATTATTATATTACGCAGCAATTGGTTCCACAAATCAACAACCCTGTTACCGAACAAAAATTTATCCACGTCTTTCCTAAATCTAAGGCTTATCCAATTTATACCCTTTGTTTCATGTTCTGTCTTGTGTTGACACTTAATACCCTAATAATATCACCCTTTGTTATATCCATTCATCCACTTGTACAGGTCTATCATATCATCCCTAATTCTTTACCTTTCTAGAGAATGTAATTTAAGCTTTATCAGTTTTTTCATATGATAAGTTTCTAATTTGGGGGATTAACTGTCATCCTAAGCTGGACATGTTCTAGTGAATTTATATCCGTTCTATAGTACAGCGACCAAAACTGAACTGCATAATCTAAATGGGACCTAACCAGAGCAAGATATAGCTGAAGACCACCACCAGGGATCTTATTACCAACGCTTCGATAAATAAATCCCAGTATCCTATTTGCCTTATTACGAACATTTATGCACTGATTTTTTGGTTTTAAAGTCTTGCTAATCATAACTCCCAGATCCCTTTCGCAATCCGACGTTGCAATCTCAACACCATCTAGCTCTTATCTTGTAACTATCATCACCACCTAGCCTTACATTTGTCAGCATTAAACTGCATCTGCCAATCTTTTGACCATTTCAAAACGCTATTTAGATCTTGAAGTGATAGCGAGTCATAATGTGTTAATTTTCCTCCGAATTTTTGTATCGGTGGCAAATTTGCAAATATTGGTGCTCAAACCTGAATCTAAATCTTTTATATATTTTATGAATAACAGAGGTCCCAGGACAGATCCTTGAGGCACTCCACTTACAACATTTTGTCACCGACTTAACACTATCGCCCGCGCCACGCGCGCACTGCAGACTTTGACGTCATGGGGCTAATGGTGTGGACGAGCGTGCGGCAACGCCTAAATGTGTATACTTGTTTCAGTTTTCTCACCTTAATTCTTGTGCTACGTCGTTCATTTGGTATCATTGTGTTCGCAATTAAATTCCCTTCAGATGAATATGCATATAATGTCCAAAAGCCTGGCAAGACTCCCCGCAGCAAAGCCTAAAGTTACCCGTGAACAAGCACCAATTTGCACACCACAACCTAATGTGTATACTCGTTCAGTTTGATAACATCAATTTTTGTGTTACATCGCTCGTTTTGATATCAAATTGTTTGCAATATAAAGGCGCGCATTTTAAAACTAGTCCCATAACAATAGCACAATAAATAGAATTTTAACATATATTTTAAAATTCAAAATTTAGACCCAAAAACGTATTTATAATCTTTCAAGTGTTCTGACATCAAGTTTCGTGTTACATCTTTCATTTTGGTATCAAATTGTGTGCATTCTAAAGGCACTTATTTTGAAACTATCCCGAGGTCGATGGGATAAAAAAATGAATTTTATACAAATATTTTTGTAGTGGTTGCGAGTCCTGTCCACAACTAGGACTCAAGATAAAAAAAATGGATGTGATCGGTGTCCAAAGCAAGCGATAACTCCATTGATGCAAACTGTTTCCTTTGGTATAGCCATACCCTAATCTAACTTAACACTTTCGCGCTCTCCGCAAAGGTCACTCAGCCAACCGAATGTGCGCGCTGCGTTTTTATCGCTTAAGCGTAAAAACAAAAATGTGTATACTCTTTTTACTCTCCTGACCTTAGTTCTCATGCTACGTATTTCATTTTGGCACCAACGTGTTTGCAATAAAATTCTCTAGAAGAACATTAGTAAAATAAGTCACGAAACATATAGGGATACCAGCACCAAATAAATAACTACGTAGATGACTCGCCGTGAGCGCCCATCAGCAACAAAATGTTTTTACTCTTGGGATTATAATCACCTCCACACTTGTTCTACAGCGTTAATTTTGGTATCAATGGACTCGCAATGAAATTCCCAACACGGTGATATGAATATAAGCGTTGAATATTGATGCAGCCCGCCCGCAAGAGTGTGGGAAGTGGTGAAATTGTTACCCGGTATCGGTGACGGGACGACGCACAGCGCTTTGAAAGTTTATACTTATTTCACTCTCATGACATTAATTTTCTATGTACGTCATTCATTTTCATGTCAATGTATTCGCAATAGAATGTTCTATGTGCCCATAGGTAAAAAATATCAACAAAGCGTAAGTTAGAATAGCGACAAATATAAAACAACGCTGGAACATATCAGTGAGCGTCAAACACACACGAAATATTTTTACTTTTGTTATGTTTGTCAAGATTATACTTGTTGCACACAGTTATTTTTGGTTGTATATTGATCGGAATAAAATTCCCTAAACAGACATATGCATATAATACATGATATGGGGAAGAATTACCAGTATAAACGGCTAAAGTCACCCACCTGCAACCCGTTTGGGACAAAATACCATTTGATCGACGTTATCCACACCTTTCATGAACTTATTGTACCATGCAGCCTAGTGGTGAGAAAGAGAGCCTCATAGCGCGCAGTTTGAAACAAACCCAAAGTAAATCGGATAAAAATTGAATTTTATACAAATATTTTAAAAGTTGACATAACTTTATGTCCACTATGCGTTTACGTTAGACGAAACCGAACGCGCCGGCGCGTCCAGATAGCGCGAAAGTGTTAATATAGCACCCCCAATACCATGAGCCTCTTATCTTTTTAACACTTTCGCCCGGGCATGACGCAGCATTGCATCATCCACTTTAAATAATCGCCAAAAATCAGGTTTTTATCTGATTTTGGGGGGACTGGTTTTAAAATGCGCACCAACGTCTTCCCTTTTTCTTTGTTGCGCCCTCGTGGCCCTCAGGCGGCTCGGCACACGCCGTCGGCCTATTGTTTTCGCTCCACTGTTGTGACCAATGTCGCCTCCCCTCGCATCTCAAACGTGCGAACATTTCGGCTATTTTCCGTGGCTATATTTCTTACTGCGGCTTTAGAAACTATCTACGCTTACTCCACGATGGATAGTGATCATGAACAAAGCCCTTCCAGGAAGAAAATTGCGAAAGAAAGGCTTGAAAAGGGCAGGAATTGGGAGTGTAGCTGGAAGGTGTCTGAGCGCTCACTCGCGGCTAACGCGTGGCCCGTCTTCAACTCGTCGGCGGTTGGAGCGTGACCAGGTTTATTATTTTATATGCTAATGTTCCTCTAGAGAATTCTATTGCGAACCCATTGAGACCAAAATGAAAGACCTAGGACGAAAATTGAGGTGACCAGAGTGAAAATAGTGAAAACATTATCGCGTTTGCGCGCTCCTGGGTAACTCGTTCGCACTTTCTCTGTTTGCTGCGGGTAATTAGCCGGGCTTTTGGAGTTTATATGCATTTAGTGCTGTAGAGAATTCTATTGCGAACACAATGATACCAAATTTAATCTCGTAGGACGAGAATTAAGGTGACAAAGTTGAAGAGAGTATACACTTTTCAGAATTTACGCGCGCTCCCGTGACATCCTGGGACCCAAATCGCACAGTTGAGGGGTGGCGCGCGGGGTACGCCAAAGTGTTAATCAGTCTTTCATATGGCACTATAACAAAAGCTTTGCTAAAGTCAAGGAATACAACATCACAAACTTTACCACTATCAACTGCCTCAACTGTGCCATAATAAAATGATAGCAAATTTGTTAAACATGAACGGCCATTTGTAAAACCACGTTGTGAATAATTTATCGATTTATTTTTTCAAGATGAAGACGAATGGTATTTGCAATTATTGATTCAAGTAACTTTTCCATAATAGACATTAAGCTAATTGGCTGATAGTTTGACACGAGATCTATTGCCTTTCTTGAAAATTGGTACCATATTAGCAACCTTCCACGACTCTGGCACTCTGTCCGACTAGTGATTTATTAAATATTGTACACAATGTCTACAATTGTCGCAAAGCTCCTCTTTGTATTCTTTAAGCACCCCTGGCAAATGCTTCGTCTGGCCCTGGGGGATTTGTTTGGCTTTAGTGTCACTATTTAATAACAGTCTCCCTGGTAACTGCTAAACTAAGCAACCTGTATTCTTCCCCCACTCATATAGACTTGTTCGGCTGAAGGCATAATGCAAATTTCCTCTTTAGTAAGATAAAATATTTATCAAAAATACTACTCATCTCTTCGGCATTATCAGTTATCTGACCTGTGTTTTTTATGGACCTATCCTTTCCTTTCCCTAATCTTTGTTCAATATAACTGAAAATCCCCTTTAGGATTTGTCTTTGCTTGCCCTGCTATGCGAACTTCATAGTTTCTTTTTGCCCTCATCTCTTTTTCAAATTTCTAACCAGTTGGATGAATTCTTGTTCTAAATTGACTTCCCCAATCTTAATCCTTTTGTACAAAGCTCTCTTTCTACCTACAAGGTTCTTCAGATCCTTTGTTATCCATTTCGGGTCATTATTATTCGATTTACTCAGTTTGTATGGTATACTACATTCCAGTGCTTTGCTTAGAATTAGGGGCTTGATTGAACCACTGAAAAACAAAGGTCACCATTTATATATGGACAACTACTATAACTCAGTTCAACTTAGTGAGAAGCTGCTTTAACAAGGTGTATACACCTGTGGTACTCTCAGATTGCAGCACGGTGCACCAAAAGATCTTCAGCTACAAGCAAATGGTAAGCTACTAGTAGATAAAACTGTATTCAGACAAAGACAATACTTTTATAATCCTGTGGAAAGATGAGAGTTGTTTCACTCATCACAACTTGCCAGTAATGACGAAAAGCCAGTTTTTTGACATGATATTTACTTTACTCTTATGGTATTGGTAATATTTTTCTTCCATTTGCCCTTATATGAATACTGTATATCCCTTTAGAGCATTCTATTGTGAACAATTCGATACCGAAATGAACAACGTAACACGAAAATTGATGTGATAAAACTAAAAAGTGTGTACACATTTTAGTGCGGGGTGTTGTGGGTGTGTGGAAGAGTGCTTACTTACGAGTGCTGTGGGTAGCACACCGTGCTTTTTTACCTTATATATGCATATCTCTCTCTCTAGAGACTGCTATTGCGAACAATTTGATATCAAAAGCAACGACGTAACAAGAAAATTGAGGTGATAAAACTGAAAAAGAATACACACATTTTAGTGCAGGGTGCACGCTCGCAGGAAACGCCAGGCCAACCTTGGGGTGGGCTGGGGCTCGTATGCCAGGCCAAGAAGTGTTGAATGAAATCAACTCCACCCCCTCCCCACCCCCCAACAGGCAGTCAGTGAAGCCAGATTGCAAAATTCCACAGGTGATGGATGTGGTGAAGCACCATCACAAGCTACCATCAATTCCTAGACCATGATACGGGCAAACTGCAGGCAAAGGAACCAGACCCTGCTGGCTGACACTTAATTTCAACGACAACTATAAACAAACCCCAAGCTGAGGAGGGGAGGGTGCCACAGAATCAAACCCTAAATAATCCTAAGGGGGGAAAAATTAGGAAAACAATCATCTGGAAGGAATTGGTCAAGATTATCTATTTCCACTTCAGCCCACAAACGGGTACCAGTCTACTGCGATCCATTCTCGCAAGGTCACACTTTAATCACATTGGCTTTGCTTTATCTTAATTACCTTATCATACTTCTGGGAACTTCACTTTAAAAAGTAGTCATGATTGAAAACCAAGATTGTGTTATTTAAACTGAGGGCATTAACTGCATGGTTAGTTTGTATACATGGTCTCATGGAATGAAGCCCTTATTTTATGTATACCCATTACCCTGATGCAATTATCAATTTTCATTTCTACTAAATTAACAAATACTTCAGTGTAACTACAACTACAGTACTTAGTCTATACTGCAATACAAATACATGAAACTAGAGCATTAAACACCTTTAAATTATAAGCAAAGTTTTGTAAACCATTTTCAGGGTTTAATATAATAAATTACAGAACCTGATATTCTGCAAGTACTCTACATAAAAATAAATGAAGAACCCTTACCTGAAAAGAATACTGTGCGAGAGCAGCATAGTGCTCACTCTGCCCCCTTACCCAACCTTTAGCTTTGGTGGGTTGTGGTGCCAGTGATGATAACAGCCGCCAAATGACATAAGGACCACCAAACACAACTGCTAAAAACATTACTATAGGCCAGGACGACTTGGAAGCTTTAATGTCAGCCTCTGTAAATGCCGTCGCAGACACCTCGCTCAACCCACCAGTGTTGCGCCATGCAGCCTCTAAACTTGGATCCTGAGACCTTAAGCCTGCAAGAGGTTTAAAGTACAGTACAATTGTGAAAATACATCATGATGAGCATTATTCAGTTTTTCCATTCTCATGGGATGAGGAAACAATAGCCTGGAGGATGTTAGGAGAGCATTTTAGGTAAAGATTAAAGATTCTCTAAAGACAATCATTCATCATATACTTTCCATATTATCCAGTCTCAGAATTGGTACCATCACATTTATTCATTCATTCATTCAATCACTTATAGCTTGCTGTTTAGTCAGAGTTGATTTGCTTTTGTATTGAGGTAGGTATTTTCTCCTGATTCCATATACGCCTAACCATCCTGTGAAATGGAAATATTAGGTGAACTTCTAGCTAGTTTCTGGTCTACACTGTGTAATCTGTCATATAGAATAGGGGAGCAGCACATTGCTTTGTATACCTAAGCTTGTTAATAAAAACAACAAATTCATTCATTACCAATCCCATTAACCCATTTCCTACTTTCATAGGGTGGAAAGGTATCAGTTCAGAGAAAAATAGTGAATACTGAAAAGTTATAAATAAAGTAGTTTAAAAATTAATTTTGCTGAATCATTCACATATAAAGCATGACAGGAAACAGTAATGCAAAAACTCTAGTTTCAGCAATAGACATAAATGGCTGCTGAAATTGATCCAAACAAGTGTAAGGTAATGAAGATGGGAAAGTGAGAACATGGACCTTTAGGTAACACCACCATAACACAAAAAGCAACCACAAGAAAACTGATTAGATTCCTAGAAGTGGATATAATCCCAGCACTAATGCCAAAAGTTCTTGAACATTTTATTTTGTGAGGAAGTAGAATATTTAAAGTGAATATAAACAAAATTTAAGTTCATAGTGATAGAAAGAATGAAAACCTGTGTGAATTAAATGTGAATGAAAAAGTGCTAGAAGTAGTTGATCCATTTAAATGTCTGGCATGTGTGACTGATAAAAGGAAGAATTTCTTTAAGCAAAGTTGTTCATTGAAGGAAATGACCAATACACTGAGAGCCCGGATTAGAAAAACCAAGATATAAAGAGATGCAGCCACAGGGCTCTGACAGGACATTAGTGCCAATCTTCATGCATGCACAGACGAGAGATAACCGATGTGACCGTGAAATGGCCAACCTGAAAAACAGTGTGTTAGAGAATTGTGTAAGAAATCCAAATATCATGAGAAAATCTGTAGGAGTCATGAGAAGTATTCAAACCCACATTTGGTACTCCAAGCACACCCCCTAGACCACTACACTAAAACATGCTCAAAAATCACGTTGCGGTGTAACATGGCTTGGACCATATCGTTGTGTAGTGGTCTAGGGCATGCACTTTAAGAGTACCAATTATGTGGGTTCCAATCCTCCTCATGGCTTCTACCGATTTTCTCATTGATACATCACGTTAATGTGATTTCATTGTGCATGTACAATGCCATGGAATGATGTAGAGTACAAGTGTATGTTAATCGCAAGACTGAAGAGGTTACCAAGGTTGTTTGGGGCTGCTAAAGAAATGGATGATGGACTGGTGAAGAGTGCATGCAAAAGAAATTATGGGTTGGAGAGGATGAAGGCAAGGGGCCAGATACAAGCGGGAATTTAATGTGAAACTAAACAGAATTGGTTACTAATAATGCTGGGTGGAAATACTTTGTAATAAGGAAGTAAATGTATCATTACGATCACTGTCCACCTAGTAGAATGAAGTGGCGAGGTACTGTTGTAGATGCAACCCGTCCTCTTAAAAATAACGTCACTTTTGGCTCGTATGGCCAAATTTGGGCGTAATTTGAAATGAAATCAACTCACAAAAGTGACGTACTGTTCCGTTTTCGGTTTGAGTCGTCCGGCTTACTCGGCAAGCTTAGAAGAGGAAACTTTCAATTAACGTTTTTCATACTGTTTTGAGACTGAGAATTTCCTGCCCACCTAACCTATCAGAGGACCCTTAACTTACTGTTATTGAAAAAAAAATCCCAAATTTTCTTTTTTACGTCCATATTCGGCCATACAGTACTGGTAAACGGCCAAAAGCGACGTTCTTTTTAAGAGGACAGGTTGGTAGATGACTGCTGGACTGGTGCTACTTATCTGTGTTTACAGTGGGGATGATGAGGCATGAGTGGATTAGTTCCTCAGAGTTAATGTCTACAAATCCACAAAAGTAGGAAACGGTCATGATAAAGTATTCATGTATGTAAAGTATAGATACTAGCACATACTTTGAAATACTTGCATGCCTACTCTTCAACCTTCTACCAAATGCAAAAAATATTGCCAGAAGAAAAGCTGAAACTGTCAAAGGGGAACTAGACAAGTCTGTGCATGTGGTGTCAGATGTGCTCAATTATGATGGCTATACAGGGTTGTGGGTTGCAAGCAGCCATGGCCTTGTTGATCAGGTGATCACCAGGAAAGCCTGGCCTAAGGTCTGGCTGCAAAATAAATTTTCACTGGCAAAATGATTTCATAGTGCTACATTCTTAAACAAAAGCAGATGAAACTAAACCCATGCAGCTTATGTAGGAGGCAGAAAAGTAACATTTATGAAAGATGCAAATGGGAGGCAATGCTGGAGAGACTGAGACAAGATGCGAGGTAGAAGTGTGTTAGAACACTGATGGTTTGAACACCTGTAAACAATGAAAGACGACTGGCTTGCATACGAGACATAAAAGATACAAGTATACAGATTCGAGTGATGGTGAGGTAAGCCAACTGAATGAAAACAGAAAATAGAGCAATTCATTCCAAGTACACTGCACAATAGCAGTTTAATAGATATAGAACAGGAAAGATTTAGCCTTTATTAGACTACCTGAAATGAAGTTTCCAAATGTAGTCATAATAAGGCAGAGATACTGACAGCAATGAAGCAAGATTCATTTTCACTTAAGTTCCTAAATTGGGAAACAAATTCCAGTAACTTGTATAATTAAAAATGCTTACAAATAAATTAAATATGTACAGTACTAGCCATCACTAAAAATGATGATCAAATCCTGCATGATCTCAACTTACCAATAAGATAAAGCAGTTTCCTGTACAGCCACCGTAGAGTTCGCACAACAGCAAGTGCAGAAAATATTTGAGCAAAATGTGACTTCATTCTGGAGAAGTGGTCAGCAACTCCCAATACAGCACGAAATGAACTGAGAACGAAAAAATGACGTATTACCATTATACTGTACAAAGAATGTTTTTCCACACACAAATTCCAAACTTCATAAGGGCACCCAACTAACATTAAGCAATTTCATTTCTATTCTATATGAATGAACTTAGAGATACTGTACATAGTAACTAAGCTCAACAATAGTAGACAAATACATTGCAGTTCACAGATAAAACATGCAGAATTGGATGATAAAAATCAATTGTTAGTTACAGTACAACAAATAAAAGCGTTTGTCAATAAAGTGAAGTACTCGGGTAAAAGATGAAAGCAATGATATGAGTAAGAAAATTGTCTAAAAATCAAGAGGTACTATAATATTAAAACACTATAGTTAATGGGTAACAAAATCCCTTAGAGCTTCCTTCAGCAACCATGGTGATATTTGGGCTGGTCCTACTGCTTTTGTAACACCCACTTCCTCCAGGAATATTTTTACATTACCTCTTCAACATAATTAAAATTCTATCCAGTGTTGTTGCTGCTTGTCTATTGTCACCCGAACTTGGAGACTAATGAACAAATCCACAAGGGCCGTGACGAGGATTCGAACCTGCGTCCGGGAGCATCCCAGACACTGCCTTAATCGACTGAGCTACAAGATACAACCTGTCGTAGCTCAGTCGATTAAGGCAGTGTCTGGGATGCTCCCGGACGCAGGTTCGAATCCTCGTCACGGCCCTTGTGGATTTGTTCATATGATGCATCACGTTAGTGTGATCTCTGTGTGTGTTGGAGACTAATCTGGTTCCGATTTGAAGACCTCATGGAACCTCTAGTCGAGTTCTTCACACAATACCTTGTCATTAACCAAGAGTGTTCTTAACTGTGGGGACAGGGATCACATTAAAACCCAACAGGCTCAGAAACCTGTACACTAAAGACAAAGACAAACTCTTCAGCACGGGTGGGACACGAACAAGGGGACACAGGTGGAAACTTAGTACCCAGATGAGCCACAGAGACGTTAGAAAGAATTTTTTCAGTGTCAGAGTAGTTAATAAATGGAATGCACTAGGAAGTGATGTGGTGGAGGCTGATTCCATACACAGTTTCAAATGTAGATATGATAGAGCCCAGTAGGCTCGGGAATCTGTACACCAGTTGATTGACAGTTGAGAGGCGGGACCAAAGAGCCAAAGCTCAACCCCCGCAAGCACAATTAGGTGAGTACAGGGTCTCATATTGTTTTTCTCCACATGTCAGCTTAGCCTAGCTCTTTACTTTTGCCATATTCTCAAACTGCTGCTCAACTACCCTCTTAATTCTTGTGTATTCAATTCCTGGCCCTCTTTAGTGCCTCCCTATTGCCTCTGTACTTCTCTACTTCTTCCATCATTTTGTCTTTTCCTCATTACACTGTCTAACCATGAGTTTGCTGTTCTCCCTTTATCCACTGCCCTCCTGAAAACTATGAAGTGTTCCATCGCTTCTTTGCACATTTATGTTACGAGTTCCATCACCTCATTTGCCAACTTTTCTTCTATTTCAGTCTCCCACCGAACCCCTCTCAGATAATCTCTAATCCTCCTGTAGTCAAATTTTTTGTGCTCTCTCCTGTTCCATGTCCTGTTTCTGACACACTCTTAACACTTTGGCGTACCCCGCGCGCCACCCCTCAACTGTGCGATTTGGGTCCCAGGGTGTCACGGGAGAGCGCGTAAATTCTGAAAAGTGTATACTCTCTTCAACTTTGTCACCTTAATTAATCCAACAATGTAATCAAACATTATGCAATGGTCACTGGCTCATAGTTGTACCTCATTTTAACCATTAAACTGCACAACACATTAATAGCTGTGGCGAGTAACTCACAGAATTGTGAACCACAGCTATAGCTGTTTTGGTGTACCATGCAAGATTTTAAAGTCTCGTGGCTACACAGGGTTCACATCAGCTTCCTTAGGGCTCTTGTAAACAGACACCATCTATTAAAAAAAAATTGTGGGCAACATTTTTGAGCATGAAAGCCTCAATACTAACATTATGACAACCTTAGAATTTTTTTTAGTGAGTATAATTGGACAGACTTGATGCTAGGCAAGGAAGTGAATGAGATGTATGTCAAGTTTTGTGAAATATATGATAAAGGCACAAAAAAATTTATACCAAAACAGAGATGAAGAACTAGGAAACAGGATTGGTTCAATAGAAATTACGAGAGGGCCAGAGACCAAAAGACACAAAAATGGAATCAATACAGGAAGAGGCCAAACCCCTAAACATACCAGCAATACAAAGATGCGAGAAATAACTACACGGCAGTGAGGAGAGAGGCAGAAAGAAATTTTGAAAAAGGGATTGCAGACAAATGCAAAACAGAACCAAGTCTATTCTATAAATTCATAAACAACAAATTGCAGGTAAAGGATAATATTCAGAGGTTGAAAATAGGAAATAGATTCACGGAAAATTAAAAGGAAATGTGTGAAACACTAAACGAAAAGTTCCAAAGTGTGTTTGTACAAAATGAAATCTTTAGGGAACTGGACACAATAAGAATTCCAGAGAACAACAGAGCACAGAGGTGTCTAGAGACGAAGTCGAAAAAATGCTCAAGGAGCTAAGTAAGAACAATGCAGTTGGTCCAGATAGTTTCACCATGGGTTCTGAGAGAATGTGCACCCAAGCTCAGCATTCCACTTCAACTGATTATTCAGGCATCCCTGTTTACAGGAGTTGTAGCTGATGTGTGGAAAAAGGCTAATGTAGTTCCAATCTACAAAAGTGGAAGCAGGGAAGACCCCCTTAATTAGACCTGTATCATTGACAAATGTAATAGTCAAAATATTGGAAAAAATAATTAAAACTAAATGGGTAGAACACCTGCAGAAAAACGATATAATATCAGGCAGACAGTATGGTTTTCAATCTGGAAGATCCTGTGTAACGAACTTACTCAGTTTTTATGAACGAGCCACAGATTTTACAGGAAAGAGATGGTTGGGTTGACTGCATCTATCTGGACCTAAAAAAGGCTTTTGACAAAGGTCCCCATAAGAGGTTGTTCTGGAAACAAACATATTGGAGGAGTGACAGGTAAGCTACTAACATGGATGAAAAATTTCCTAACTGACAAAAATGAGGGCCATAATCAGAGGCAAGGTATCGGATTGGAGGAATGTCGCGAGTGGAGTACCACAGGGTTCAGTTCTTGCACCGGTAATGTTCATTGTCTACATAAACGATCTACCAGTGGGAATACAGAATTACATGAACATGTTTGCTGATGATGCTAAGATAATAGGGAAGATAAGAAACCTAGATGATTGTCATGCCCTTCAAGAAGACCTGGACAAAATAAGTATATGGAGCAACACTTGGCAAATGGAATTTAATGTGAATAAATGCCAAGTTATGGAACGTGGAATTGGAGAACAGACCCCACACAACCTATAAATTATGTGAGAAATCTTTAAAAAATTCTGACAAAGAAAGGGATCTAGGGGTGGTTCTAGATAGAAAACTGTCACCTGAGGACCACATTAAGAACATTGTGCGAGGAGCCTATGCTACACTTTCTAACCTCAGAATTGCTTTTAAATACATGGATGGAGAAATACTAAAGAAATTGTTCACGACTTTTATTAGACCAAAGCTGGAATATGCAGCGGTTGTATGGTGCCCATATCTTAAGAAGCACATCAACAAACTGGAAAAGGTGGACAGACATGCCACTAAGTGGCTCCCAGAACTGAAGGACAAGAGCTACGAGGAGAGGTTAGAGGCATTACATATGCAAAAACTAGAAGATAGAAGAAACAGGCGATATGATCACTACATTCAAAATAGTAACAGGAATCGATAAAATTGATAGGGAAGAATTCCCGAGACCGGGAACTTCAAGAACAAGAGGTCATAGATTTAAACTAACGAAACAAAGCTGCCGGAGAAATATACGAAAATTCACTTTTGTAAACAGAGTGGTAGACGGTTGGAACAAGTGAGAGGGTAGTGGAGGCCAAAATCGTCAATAATTTCAAAGCACTATATGAAAGTGCTGGGGAGACGGGACACCATGAGCGTAGCTCTCATCCTGTAACTACACTTGGGTAATCACTTAGATAATTACTGAGTGAGCCACCAAGGCTGGCACATGCAGCATGAGCTAACAGCACTGCTGTTCAGCTTGTGACCACAGCATCACCTAAAAAATGTAAAAGTATATATGTAACTGGCATTATTTAGCAATGATAGTATTACACAAGACCTGTGATAACAATTACCAGGATTCTGATAATAGCAGGATTGTTGTGATAATTAGCACTGTGTATAGTATTGTGGGAGGAGTAATGCTGAGGGAGGGGAGGGAGGGAGGGAGAAAGGTAGGTAGGTAGCTTTGTCTGCTGACTGTGGCCACCTGTTATTGCCTAGAATCACCTTATCAATTTAGTGGTTTGCTATGGTGAACACAAATGTAGATACTAATATATAACGTGAGTATATAATGTAATAACGGCACAATATGGTGGGAGGAGGAATCTCTGAGGGAGGGAAGGCAGCATCCACTGTGTAGCAACCTTTGATATTGTATGAACTCACCATAAGAGTTTAGTTGTACAGTTATGGTGAACATAATGTGAAGATACTTATATATAATGTGTGCGTATAGTGTAATAACACCACAAACAGTATGGTTGTTAGTGGAATGTTAGTGTGTCTGGCCTTGAACGAGTGAGGGAGGGGAGGCAGCGTCAACTGACTGTGTGGCGACCTCTGTTGCTGTCTGAACTATTACGATTGCATTGTCAACACCTCAATTTTGCCAGGATGCCTTGCCGTATTGAGGCCAAAATACATCACCTATGATTCCCCTTCCCCTGTGGTCAGGGAACACAAATGAACAGTTTTACAAGAGGAAATTTTTTTTATTATTTTTTATTTCTTGCACCTGGGCGTGTTGCAGGCTATAATCACAAGAGCAACCCAAGGGTCAAGTTCCCTACAGTTTTATTTTGGGTAAACACCATATCCAGTGTAGCTGGTAGATCACCACCACTTTGTGGGCTCCTTGATATGCTGCCACAGGAAGTGTTTGTAATGTCTAGAAATCTTGCTCTCCCTACTTCATCTCCCTCGTGAGCATCCTTTATCGACCGGTCTATTTCTATTTGATCAAAATCCCTAAGTATTAGGATCTTTGCTCTGGCTCTCCTTGCCTGTGGCCACCCAATGATTCAGAGAGGAGTGAGGAGCGAGCTCAGATGTCAATGTTTGCAGATGTAAATTTAATGAGGACAGTAAAAAGTGAGGAAGACTGGGGCTGTGGCAGAACGAGATGGGAGGATAAGTAGTTTCCTTAGAGAGGTTAGTAGGGTGCCAATTCTCTCTGAACATCAGCCAGTTACAGCTGCTATCTCCAGAAACCTCTGATGATTGAGTATCTCGGCACTCACAGGTATGGTTCGTGCACAACTGAAAACACAGTGTTAGCGAACTTACTTCGCATCAACAAAGTGATGCGAAGTAATCAGCAATGGTTGATTTTGTTAACTGACACACCATCGACTGGAGTTGACTGGTCCATACATAACGTTCTGAAGACCAGATGTCTAAAAAAAAAAAAAAAATATGTATTTTGTAAAGCTCACCTAACACAGTCCACTTTTTGGAGAAAAGCACATGTTCATGCTTATTGTAGCAAAAGGGTCAAGTGTTAGGTACATTTAAAAAAATTTACAACATTATTTGAAGTGACAATTAGCACCATTTTTGAGTAAATTACAGGACTAAATCAGAAAGTCTGATATTAGATACATTCTGTAACAAGCAATTAAATTTGTATTAACAAACATTGCAAAATATTTGAAACAAATACAACATACAGTACCTGTAAACAGCATGATATGTTGACTCCAGCATCATACTGACGGAACCAAATGCATGAACAATGCTCTCTATACTCTGAAAGGCTTGACGGGAACTCTCTTCTGCTGCTTGCATAAACCTGTAATTAATCTCCAATTACTGCAGTTAATACTTCAATTCAGAAAAATCACTGCACAAAAAATTGATTTTACTTTCAACACCACACCAGCATTTTAAGTATTTAGCCATAATTAAAGTCATTGTATAAAAATAAGCATTCGGCTATGACAAAATTGAAGACGCTGTACTCATGGTAGAGAATAGAGGTTGTCATTGAAATATTGCACATGCACATGTATTCATGCATTATTTGTCAATGCATAAATATGCAACATGAATAATCAGAATTGCCTATTATAAAACATCCCTAAAATACTAAAAGGAAACATGTGTACTGCAAGTCTTACCCTTGATCAGTCACTGCTCCCCCCATCATACCGAACCGGTTGTAGTTCCCGTACGTCGCTCCGTACGCATTATATCCACCACCATAGTAAGACCCTCCTAAGGAACTGTAAGCACCCCCGTAGGAACCATAGGCACCATAAGATGGTCGGGAGAATGTGCTAGTTCTAGTAGAGTTAGGGCGTGGAGGCAGGGGTGGCTGGCTGGTGTGCGAGAACCCCCCACCACCACCGCCAGTTCCTGGGGCCACATGTGGAGATACTGATACAAACCTGTGTAAGTAGAGAATTGAAATCCATAATGCTCATTATCTCTTGTAACCTCACTAAGTTTCATAGTTAAACAATATAGGAATCGAAACAAAGTTTTTGGCAAAAACTTCAGAGTGCAATTAAGGACATTTTTATAGTTTATAAATGTTCAGGTAAAGTTAATGTTAAAATGCTTCCAAACTCGACCATTTTCATTTCAAACTAGTGATGAAAACATTAAAAAAAAAAACATTAAAATATAGCCTAATTAAAAAAAAAAAAAATACAACTCTCAGAACGAGATTTCTCGGTTGGCACAGTACAGTGGTTAACAAAAAATTATAATGCAGTTGTCCCAATGATACAACAATTTAATGTATTGGTGATATCAAATTAAAAGATTGAAATGTGCCTTAAAAAAATTGATAGAAAAATTATACAATATTTGAAAATGTAGATTCAGGTCAAACTGCTCTTTCTAAATTGTTCCATATCAAAACCACAATAATAGGGAAAATAAAAAATTTGTTAGATGGTGCAAGTCTCCAAATATGGTACGGTACTGACAAAAAAAATATTTCCTTCACATTTTGGAAAAATAACATTTTCCTTCTAAAATCTTCCAACTCCAGACAGGAAGATTAACTTTCAAAATCTCCTGCAGAACACACCAAACCACAAAAAAATACCATGCTACACTGCATATAAAAATTAGATCCTAATACACACTTCTCTATGTGTATGGCATTAAATATGTTGGTCACCCGTGTGTGTTCTTTTTGTCAGGAAAAAGAAACCAATACTGGACTTGGTCTTATAAAGCTCACCCGAGAGCAACTACTGACCTTCCTCATGATGCAATCTTGAGATGATTTCGGGGCTTTTAGTGTCCCCAGGGCCCAGTCCTCGACCAGGCCTCCACCCCCAGGAAGCAGCCCGGGACAGCTGACTAACACCCAGGTACCTATTTTACTGCTAGGTAACAGGGCCATAGGGTGAAAAACTCTGCCCATTGTTTCTTGCAGGCGCCCGGGATCGAACCCAGGACCACTGGATCACAAGTCCAGCGTGCTGTCTGCTCGGCCGACCGGTTCCCGTCAGCAAGCCTCAAACTCTTGCCTAACTCCTGGACACCTATTTCTAAAGTAAGTAAATCCTTGCTAGGTGAGTACTACTAAGTGAAGAGAAGCATCAGATGAAAAGAAATATTGCCCATATGTCTATTTTATCAGTTTTAAGTCAATGACATGGACTATTGCATTACACATTCAGAGACTGCCTCCAGAGACTGACCACTTTATTGGTGTGCCATAGATCTATATTAATTTATAATTAATAGTCAATTTTGTTTGGAACAACCTGTGAAAATACATGTTAAGCTTATAGATGTCCCCCTCCCCCCACTCCCAAGGTCAAACTACCGACCCTCGCCAGGATGCAACCTCACAAGGAGGTCACTAACTCCGGGTACTTATTTACTGCTAGGTGAACAGAAGCATTAGGTGACAACCATTCAGGAATGGTTGGGCAACCATGCCCAACCATACCTGTCCCACTTCAGATTTAAACCCAGGATTCCTGGTTGAGTCTAGAACGAACCCAACTGCACTACCGCATCCCAACCTTGTTACATTCTTGTACACTCTTGTACCTACTGTATAAACAAAGGCCAAAGTCCATTCCATGCACCTGCCAAACGTCTGTTTATGAATGATAAACAGTTTACACACTACTCAACTGATGACATTCGAACACTTCCAGAACAGGTGCTTCGCTAACGACTTTTGTTCGAATCACAACACTGTAAATGCTTCACCCACGTACTACAAATACAGTACAAATAATCGCAAACAGAATCTAAACACCTAGCCTAATCAATGCCTAAATAGGCATATGCTAAGCTAATATATATTAATTTATATTTGAGAAAATTCCAATTTTGAACGAACAAGATGTTAAAGTTTATGAATGTGTCTTTGGGGTCAACTGCTGAATGGAATGTACTTGGTCTGAGAATGGGTCGATTACCAAGCCCCCCCTCCCTATCTTCAAGTATGGTACTAACCACAATTCCCAGAGATACAGTACCTAGTTCACCAGGGTATCTGGCCAATTGGTGCAGAGAGAAACACCATATGCTACCAGTTTTGTGTCATTAACTTTCCCAATATCACAGATGATTGATCGATAAAGATTAAGCCACCCAAGAGGTGGCACAGGCATGAATAGCCCGTAAGTGGTACAATTTTTTGTTCAGTAATACTTTTCAGTATTCTGAGGTTGCATTTAATCGTCAATCTGTTATCGCGGGGGAGGGTACTGCTTGACAGTCTTTATGAGGGTGTCCAGCTGATGGACACCTTTTTAGACCAGGAGAGTGGCTGTGTTGATGGCTTCAAGGTGGCCACTGATATTATTACATGTAATATCCAATACAGTATTACATCTACAACATCCATTTTAAAGTAATTTTATTGGAGTGGCTACTTTTTCAATCCATATTAACTTTTACAATAATTACTATTCTTAGTCTAACAAAAACTTCAATAACCAAGTTTTCAGAGACCGGCGACTTTGATTAAATCTGACTATAGAATTTGAACTTTCAAATTCAAAAATTCAAATGTTTATTCAGGTAAAGTACATACACACACAAGGTGAGATACAAAAGTTGATGGATTTATAGATAGAGCTAGTACATACAATGCCTAAAGCCACTATTACGCAAAGCATTTCGGGCAGGAAAAACATTAAAGACAAACTTAATACTAATCGAGATTAAAGTATAAAATGTGTTGAGAATAAAATAAAAAAGGGGGAACATGGCAGAATAACAGCAAAAATACAATTAGGTCGACAAACAGCATTGTTTAAAAATAGCAGACATGGGTTGACAATATAGGGGTAAGGTAGGTTACAGGGAGTTTATTTTCTGCATTTCTTCTTTCTGTATTCGCTTTACGGTGAGAAAAAATAAAGCCAAGAACTAAAATATTCCTAGGCCTAGTATAGCACATGTTTGTTTGTTTATATATATATGTACACAAGGGGGTACATTGGGTTTATGAGAGTACATAGCAGTGATGTTTTTATTCTTGCAAAGCCATTAACACTCAGCGTTTTGGGCAGGTTCTTATTCCAACAGATAATTTTAAGTAATTTGAAGCAAAATTTGAATATTAACAGGTTCATTGTAAGAAAATTAATAGGCACATTGTAGTAAAATATGAGTTCAACTGTGTACTATATTAGGCCTAAGATGGTTAGGTTAGATGTTATTTTCCAATAAAAATAGAAAAACCTTTTCTGACTTGCCCAAATCCAATAGTACCAAACACTACTTTCTAAAGCTTCATTACGTCAATATATATATACCATGGTCCACTTAGAGAGGATTATCACTATCTACACCAGAGAGGATGACCTCTAAAATGGATAAGAAATTGAACCCATATTTCTCGCCCTGTTGCTGGTCTATGTACTGTAGTGCCGAGACTGTGGTCCACCACACAACTACCACACCACACACACGCTACACACTACTCATAGTGCTCAAAAGGAAGGTCTGAGATATGATTGTTATGATGCTAAACGCTTATCAGTTTAATAAGCTCACGCGTTTGCGTTGTCAGGATTGAAGTTGGGTTGCCTCTGGTTGACGCCATTCTGTCGCTCCCAGGGTTTGGGTGCGGAAGCCATTTACTCCACACTAACTTGGTCTTGACAGGAGCCCGACACTCCCCTTAGGGTCCATTAGCCAGCGTAGGAGCAGCTGATGACGAGCGGGAGAGCAGCAGCAGCAGCAGCGTGCTCCCTGGACGGCGACGCGGGGGGTACTGAGTGGCCTTGGCCGCCCCGGACCATCAACCACGCTAGAATTAATGAATGCCTCTCAGTGTTTACAAAGTTACAAAGAATTTCCTGGTAACTAAATAATTTTTTTTTATATATACACAAGAGTTCTCACATTCTTGTACAGCCACTAGCACGTGTAGCGTTTCGGGCAAGTCCTTAGTCCTATGTTCCCCGGAATACGACCCGCCAAATGGTTTAACAACCAACAGATACCCATTTTACTGTTGAGTAAACAGAGGCTACAGTTAAGGATTTGTGCCCATTAAATCCTCCCCGGCCAGGATACATGATTGTAACCTATCCACCGCTGCCCACTGAATGGGGGCCGGTGTGCAGGACAAACATATCAATTGTGACACTAGCTCTCCACATATGTCAGTTGCTTAATTTGGAAATTGTACTTAATTTTTTTTTTTTAATTTTGCCCCGAGGGGCGAGTTTATTGGGCAGCGCCACTCATCTTGTGAGTGGACATACCGCCATAGCAGTATGTATAACACTCCCCAATAGGAAGAAAACCCGCTGGGTTGTTCATCCTGTCACTTGTACCCAGACGCAGCTGGGACTTGCTTAACTGTCTCAAGTAAACAGCTCCTCAAACAAGAAGATTAACATCTATCAACCCTTAAAATCTTACGTTATCTTGTGGGTGCAAAATGGGGGAATCTTTTAAGAACAGTATCAATATTTGACAAATAGTGATTTCCTAACTCAAACAATGTGGGGTTTATAATTCTACACATACTTCTGATGTCTCTCAGGTGTTCACATTCACGTAGATAGTGTTCAAGGCGGTGTCCGTCACTCTCATCACAGATTCTGCAACTTCGCTGATCAACTGTCGTTTCCATTCCATATCTCCATGGATATTTGTATCCAAGACGGATTCTCGCTATTACTGATTCTCTCCCTCGTACTCCTCCTCTTCGGCCATAATGATTGGGACCTGTGGTCGATCTCGAGAAAACATCCAGCGATCTTTTAGGCTAGATAATAGCCTAACGTGTATGAATACTCTCTGGCTTCCTGTCCCCTGACACAGTGAACTATACCATTGATGGTATTTCATTAATGTTCCCAGCCTTGGTTTTAACTGGTTGAATTATGGATATAATGTGTGTCGGGATGACTGGTAAAAGGAGTAGTTAGGATAGAGATATGTAGTAACATGTACTCACCTAGTTGTGACCTAGTTGTGCTTGCGGGGGCTGAGCTCTGGCTCTTTGGTCCCGCCTCTCAACTGTCAATCATCTGATGTACAGATTCATGAGCCTACTGGGCTCTATCATATCTACATCTGAAACTGTATGGAGTCAGCCTCCACCACATCACTTCCTAATGAATTCCATCTGTTAACTACTCTGACACTGAAAAAGTTCTTTCTAACGTCCCTGTGGCTCATTTGGGTACTCAGTTTCCACCTTTGTCCCCTTGTTCGCGTACCACTCTTGTTAAATAGTCCATCCTTGTCTACCCTGTCAATTCCCCCTGCGAATTTTGTATGTCGTGATCATGTCTCCCCGAGCTCTTCTGTCTTCCAGCAACGTGAGGTGCAGTTCACGCAGCCTGTCCTCATAACTAATACCTCTTAGTTCTGGGACTAGCCTAGTGGCATACCTCTGAACTTTTTCCATCTTGGTCTTGTGCTTGACAAGGTACGGGCTCCATGCTGGGGCCGCATAATACAGGATTGGTTTTATATGAAATTGAAATTGAAATAAGTTTATTGAGGTAAAATACACACAAAGGGATGAGGTAGCTCAAGCTATTCTCACCCCGTTCAGTACAACGTGTTAGTACATACATAGACACACATCACAAACAATAAACCTGTTACCAAACATTCTGAGAGATAAACATATACATTTCCTCCTTCACAAGTAGTATGGTATCAGACGTACACACAAATACTTTTATGACCTAGGTATACTGTATAGACAATTTGCAAGAGACATGCAGATAATTCAACAAAATATTACAGTCTTGGTGCAAAATTCTTATATCTCTCAAGAATATCATCAACCTTTCCGTTGTGACACATCCAGGCTATTTGTTCAGGAACAGTCCTTATCTCAGTGTTTCTATATACATTAATCAACGGACAATCAAGAACATAATGGGCCAGGGTGTGAGACCTTAACATACTACATAGTTTACACTTCGTGTCATTATCATGAACATCTATCCCATATTCCCAGTAATATTTGTACCCAAGCCTGAGCCGCATGTACACTGAGTCACTCCAAGCATTTCTCCTTTTACCATAAGTGAAATGGGTGTTTTGACTCACATACATGTAGTGTTGCATGGTTTGACTTCTCTCATACATTATCTCTCTCCTCTCCACTTCTGCCTGTGCCTGAATATTTCTGATTTTGCTTCTTATTTGTCTCATTGTGAATTCACATTCAATGTCAACTCGTGGTTTTGATGTGGCACGTTTGGCCAAGTCATCCGCCACCTCGTTGAGCACTATTCCAACATGAGATGGAATCCACATGAATTTCACACTATTTATTTTATATGTGGTATACAAGGTTTTATATGTGGTATACAAGGTTCTGAAGGAATCCTTACACAGGGTCCTGAAGGCAGTCCTAATATTAGCCAGCCTTGCATACGCCGCTGATGTTATTCTTTTGACGAGGGCTTCAGGAGACAGGTTTGGTGTGATATCAACTCCTAGATCTTTCTCTCTTGTCAGTTTCATGAAGGACTTCATCTCCCATTCGGTATCCTGTGTCTGGCCTCTTGTTTCCTCCGCCTAGTTTTATTACCATACATTTACTTGGGTTGAACTTTAGTAGCCATTTGTTGGATTATTCATTCAGTTTGTCTAGGTTATCTTGTAGCCTCATTCTATCTTCCTCTGTCTTAATCCTCTTCATAATTTTTGTATCATCAGCAAACATTGAGAGGAACGAGTCAATTCCCTCTGGGATATCATTTACGTATATCAGAAACAGTATAGGTCCAAGGACTGATCCCTGTTGGACACTGGTGACGCCTCGCCAATCTGAGACCTCACCCCTCACGGTGACTCGCTGCCTTATGTTGCCCTTACCCAATGGAGTACCGTCCCTTTCACTCCTGTCTGCATCTCCAGCTTGTGCACTAGTCTCTTGTGTGGTACTGTATCAAAGGCTTTCAGGCAATCCAAAAATATGCAGCCTGCCTACCCCTCTCTTCCTTGCCTGATTTTTGTTGCCTGGTCGTAGAATACAATTAATCCTGTGAAACATGACTTGTCATCTTTAAACCCATGTTGATGCTGTGTTACAAAATTCTTTCGCTCCAGATGTTCCACTAGCTTTTTACGCACAATCTTCTCCATCAACATGTGTTTGAGTGTCTGGGATTTTTCTGGCAAGGTTATTAGCACCAATTGATGAAATGAAGCTATTAAATTCAGTTGCATCTGTCTTTCCTTATCTCACCAATGTAATCTGTGCCTGGGGTTCTACTACCCTAAATTATCTTCGACCCATAATTACTCAACACATATCAACAACAATTAGAACAATAACCAATTCAAACCCCAGACAGCACTCGATAGTAACGACAGAACGAACGGAACTGTGGAAAAGTTCACTCTGAAGAATGGTAACACCTGCAGGAGTTATAGAGACAGACTGGGAGGAAGGTGTAGGGTCACCAGGCGTGGTGCGTGAGGTGCTGGCCGTGAGCCTCGGTAAAGAGGACAACACTTGCTCCAACACATCCTGCACACAACACAAGAATTACCGAATAAAGGTTTTTGGTTGTTGGCGCCTGAGACAGCCCAGTTTATTGTGCACCCCATACTTCTCCTGTGAGGCTTGCTGTCAAGCCTATCTATGACCCAAAGACCGACGTCCCTAAGACTCGTACAATATCTATAACAACGGACTTATATTAACATTTGTAATGTTTACAATAACCACGAACGATATATATATATATATATATATATATATATATATATATATATATATATATATATATATATATATATATATATATATATATATATATATATATATATATATATATATATATATATATATATATATATATATATATATATATATATATATATATATATATTATATATTTTGGTAGCAGTCTTTCCTGTAGATATATATTATTAAATATGACCGAAAAAGTAAGATTAATAATTCTAACACGAATTTTCTCAATCTTTCGTACATTACGCTTCACTGTTGGAGGTAAATCAAAAATCAATTCTCCAAAATTCATTTTTATTTCTAGTCTGACGCGACACGGGCGCGTTTCGTAAAACTTATTACATTTTCAAAGACTTTTAGTTCACAAATACACAACTGAATAGAACTTACGTATCTCCGATTTTATATCTACATTTGAGTGAGGTGGGAGGGGTGATGTGGCATTAACACAAGACAGAACAAAAGGGGATATTAATAGGGTATTAAAAGTATCAACACAAGACAGAACACAAACAATGGGTATTGAATAGAAGTGTTTGTAGAAAGCCTATTGGTCCATATTTCTTGATGCTTCTATATTGGAGCGGAGTCTTGAGGTGGGTAGAATATAGTTGTGCAATAATTGGCTGTTGATTGCTGGTGTTGACTTCTTGATGTGTAGTGCCTCGCAAACGTCAAGCCGCCTGCTATCGCTGTATCTATCGATGATTTCTGTGTTGTTTACTAGGATTTCTCTGGCGATGGTTTGGTTGTGGGAAGAGATTATATGTTCCTTAATGGAGCCCTGTTGCTTATGCATCGTTAAACGCCTAGAAAGAGATGTTGTTGTCTTGCCTATATACTGGGTTTTTTGGAGCTTACAGTCCCCAAGTGGGCATTTGAAGGCATAGACGACGTTAGTCTCTTTTAAAGCGTTCTGTTTTGTGTCTGGAGAGTTTCTCATGAGTAGGCTGGCCGTTTTTCTGGTTTTATAGTAAATCGTCAGTTGTATCCTCTGATTTTTGTCTGTAGGGATAACGTTTCTATTAACAATATCTTTCAGGACCCTTTCCTCCGTTTTA